TATAGTAAAATAATTACGCGGAAAAAAACAATTCGCGTAATTGAATTTCTGTTCCCCGAGGCGAAAGAAATTCGATAACAAAACATGATCTCTCTGTTATTACGAACAAAAATATTCGCCCGAATATTCGACTACGTTGAAATCCGAATGCACTGAAAAGTGTCCGGTATTTGTGACTATAATTGCATAGTGAAATAATTATAGAGTCGAGGAAATTATTTTTTTCTACTATTTCTGCTATTACTATTACTATTTTATTATTGTTTCTAGTAGTGTACTACTGTTTTAGTACTATACTGTTATTTTTATTTATATTTGTAGTAGTATTTTTATTTATATAGTTTATATTTATTTATATTTATTTATTATTATTTATTTATTATATAGTTTATATTTATTTATATTTATTTATTAGTAGTAGTTTCATTTATATTTATAGTAGTACTGCTATTTTTATTACTATTTTTACTATTATTTGTGCAATATTTACTATTGTTGTTATTACTATATTTTGATTAGAACAACAAAAAGATAGTTGGCAACAGAAAATATTAGTTTTCGTAAAATTAACTACTTCCTTCCTCTTAGTAACCGAGAATAATTGGTCGAATAACGGAAACTTCCGACGAGAATCTTCCTATTCTTGCACCAAGTTACTATTTGATTATTACGGGATAGAAATTCAATTATGCGAACAGAGTTCTTTTTATATATTATTCTGATATTATAGTATTGACATTATAATGTTAATAACCATCTGGTATGCATATTGTTATTGTATTACCATATTTTTGGTGAAATAACAAAAAAGTATAGTTAGTACCGAAAATAGCTAATTTTAATGAGATTAACCTTGTCTTCAGAGATACACATATGCGTATATTTAGATACATTCAATTTTTCTCTCTTTTCGAACTCGAACATTATCAGTAAAATATAACAAACATTGCTGTGAAAAAATATTCATCACAAAATTCCACAAGAAAAAGGAAATCTCGTTTCATAATTAACAGATATATTTATGTTTCTTAAATAATTTTCTTCTGATTAATAAATGCACCTTCGAAGAAATTGGGCACTTTATATTCTCTCATTTTCTATATTAACATATTTTGAATTTGAACATTGTCAATAAAATACAAGAAATATTACTGTAATTAATTAATTAAATTAGTAAATTAGATTAAATTAATTAATCTATATCATATTTATAACATTTGTCACTGAAAAAAATCTAAAAAATAAAAAATATTTATTTGTTGGATACTAATAACACATTTAATTATGCTAATATAAAATATTTCATCAATATTTTTCAAATAAGAATATGTCTTCAAATAAAATTTTTCAAATAAGAATATGTCTTAAAACCTTAGCTCTTCACGAAAGCAATTGTTTATTCCATTTAAATAACAAAATTTAAACTTAAATAAATGTTATTGATACTCACTGAATAAATATTTTTTTAGATATTTTTCTCTTAGTGTATAATTATGTGTTTCTTCTGATTTTAATAAAGCGTAGAGGTTAACCATTTTATTTTCTTTTGCTTTCTCTACTAACACGTTCGTCACCATCGATCTTCACAGTTGCAAAACCAACACAAAGCTTCTTCAGAGACCGTCCTATGTTTCTCGTTCTGTCCTACATAGTAATATAAAACAGAGTTAATTTGTTTGCATGGACACAAAACGAAAAATATCACTGTCACACATATATGACGTCGGTCTGCCGTCGCAATGCGCGACGCGAGGTTAGGGAGTATGTTAACTCGTCTCTATCTTGATGAATCATACAAAATCTGTGACATCGAGCCGCCGGGTATCAAATGTCTCGTTTAAGGGTTCTCTTGAGACCGCGGGAAACGTATGAATACTTGAGTCGCGAGACGAGGCGCAGAATCGAGTCCGATTGCTCTTATAAATACGTATCGACGCGGGCTCGAAATACACCATCGCGTGCAATCGACAGTTAGGATTAATCAGAAATTATACGTGTGGCAGGTGTTGGGTGTGTGGAGCACCAGTTACATCCCGAAGGGGACGCGCTTCGGCCCTCTGGTCGGCCAGGTGTACACGAAGGATTCGGTACCGGCGGACGCGAACCGGAAGTACTTCTGGCGGGTAAGAGGCACCTCTCCTTATGCGTGTGTTACTCGACCCTCTGGGTATTCCACGCCGTGGTGGATTACTCACGGAGCTGTGAGCTTCTCGCCGAAGAGGCACCGGTCAACGTGGACACAAGGCCGCGGCGATGTAACGTGCGCCCGGCAAAAAGATAGAAGGAAAAAAGAAGGAAGACGACGGGCGAATAAAGAAAAGCCGCGGGACGGTAGGAGGAGAGGCCAGCAAAGACCAGAAACTGGTTTCAGTCCAATCTGACGAGCCTTAGAGCGAAACCCGCGAAGCCATTGATGCCTCGTAACTCATCAATTCGTTACGATAGTTACACCGGCGGTTCCTCGCCGAGATCCTCGCCGCGAGATGACACACGGTGTGTGTGTATATATGTGTGTATGTGCACATGAGAACACGATAATGAAGTGCAGGCGCAAACAAACGCGCGATTGACCGGTGCCTTTTCGGTGTCTTCTTGTGTAACAGAGGAGTCGCGATTCGGGTTGACCACTTCTGAGAATTCAAGTTATCATAGTATGTCGTAATTTATTGTATGCATACATGGATTGCACATGATACCCTCCAAGTGGCAGGGACTTCTTGGATCCTTACTTATTTACCGGGAAACTCTTTGTGACGGTTTGCAAGAAAGGAAAGGATTAAGACAGACAAAATTGATAATATTAGGATTCCTCACTGCGGTGATCTTGATTCATGATGTCGGAAGCGAGAGAATCCGCTAAAAATTCTTGCAAAATACTTGTTACAAAATAATTGTTAACAAAATAACACAAGTATCATTTTATGGGTATATATCTTTTTATTTTTTTTTTTTATTTTTACCGTGTATTTTGTCGCTTCATCGCTGACATCGTTAATCAAGAGTTGCACAATGAGAAGAACCCTTCAGAAGCTCTAAAAATTAAACATAATGTATCCTTGTTGTTATTGACTGCACGATTTTTTTACATCTATCTGTTTTAAAATAATATCAATTTATAATAAAGATATGAAATCAAGATAAGATATGAATATCAAGATAAGAATAAAGATATGAAATTAAGAAACAAAATTAATAATAAGAAACTTAGCATAAATTTGAAGGAAACGTTCAATTATTTATTTTTGCCTGCGCATTGTTATCTAGTATGATAATACAAAAAATTAAATCTTTGTGTGAAAATATATATATTATTTTATAATAATATCTTGAAATTAAATGTCTTTATAATCTTAACAAGTTGCACGAACTTGTGTATCCACCTGTTGCAAAATAGTGTTAATTCATTAAAAAAAAATAGAATTGATAATAAGATGTAAAATTGATAAATTTAAATTGTTCCTTTTTATAGTTCAATTATTTTTTTATAGCTTAATTGTTAATCTGTATAATTAATTTATAATAATTAATTAAATATAACATAGCTTTTCTTAATAATTTTCAACCGTTATTTTTAAATCATATTTTCTCATCACTCTTTCAAATTAATTAAAAGAGGTGGTCAGCTCAGTTAATATGTAATAATTAATTGCACACATTAACAGAATATACTTCTTCCTAATAATTTTCAATCCTATTATATTATGAAATCATATTTTTCCGTCATTCTCTTTCAAATTAATTAAAAAAGATAGCCTAGTCGCGAATACGAGAAGCCAGGAGAGTCCGTTGCAGAAGGGAAGCACTCATAAAAATCTATTCCTCTGCCAGGTGTACAAGAACAACGAGCTGTTCTACTACATCGACGGTTATGACGTCCAGAAATCGAATTGGATGCGTTACGTGAATCCCGCCTACTCGTCCGAATCGCAAAACCTAATAGCATGCCAGTATAAGGTAAAGCAATTTCGTCGAGTGCACGTCTCGCCGAGCACATGTATTTCCAGACCGCGTTCGGATTAGCGAGCGAGAGGAAATCGAGGCTCAATCGTTCTCTGTATTCCTGTTTCAGATGAACATTTATTTTTACACGATCAAGCCGATACTACCGAATCAAGAGTTGCTGGTTTGGTATTGCAGGGAATTCGCGGAAAGGCTCAATTATCCGCTCACCGGCGAGCTGATGCTTCAGAGAATACGTAAGTCGACACTCGAACTAACGTGTAACTCGTGGAAATTGTGAAAATTTCAAATTTATAATTTATATAAAAGTCATACATACACACACATACGCGCGCGAGAAAAAAAAGCTGTGCCGTCTCTGTGAACTTTGGCTTGACTTTGAAATTCCATTTTACTGTCGTTGACGATGCGCTCTCGCACCACAGAAAAATTGCAAAGAGAAAAGATTAACTTTAATCACTTAAAAAAGAAACAACATCGACAATAATACGGAAAGCACTCCAAGCAATGAGCAGTCGCTTCAAGATATACGTAGATCAATACTCGTCGTGAATAGCACGCGGAAGTTGTAATAAAATGTTTAATTTGCAACAACATTTCATATCACAAGGAGTGCGCTCGGGGAGCTTACTACCGCGATATCAACACAATGTGTTCTTATTACATTAAGAGCAATCTTAAAAAGATGTACAAAACAATTCCGCAATTATTCGTGATATAAAAGATGTCTAATAATGTACTCTACTCGCTCACGAGCGATGTCGCGCGAAATATCAGACATCTCTCATATAAACCTAGAAAGATAAAGGACACATTTGCAAATCGTAGGACAACAAGTACAACAATCGGCGCTACCAACGGAAATCCCGCCCACCGTCGACGTGGTGTCGCCGCTGAAAGACTCGTCGATCTACGAGAGGCGCTCGCAAATGACGCCGACGGACGGTTCCGTTAGGTCAGACGAGGGTTACCACTCGAACGGCTATCACGACGAGATTCTGACGCCGCCTGAGGAGAGCAGTGAATCCGACTCCGAGAATAACTACGTGCTGGACTTCAGCAAGAACGCCAAGTCCTCGGTGTGCAGCGACGAGATCCTGAAGCAGGACAACGCCGCGGTGAAGAATGAGTACAGGAAGGTGAAGATCAAGATCTCGAAAACTTATGGCAATTTTCAGACAGCGAAAGGCATAGACGGCCCGGCGAAGGACAAGGAGCAGGAGCTTTCCAGCCGGGCGGTCAGCCCGGAGTTGCACAAGCCTATGTCGCCTGTCATCCTCCAGAAAAGCGCCATACTGTCGACCGTGAATGAAGACGAGGTCGTGCCCGAGAAGAACGCCAAACCTTTCTACGAGCCAGAGGTGAAGGGCGGCCTGCCAATGTCCGGCAGACCTGCCTACCTCAGTAGCCCAAGCAGCTCCATCCTGGAGAACATTCTCCTGCGAAACAGCACTGACAACAACAACAATAACAACAACAGCCACAACCATCATCATCATCATCACCACCATCACAACAACCACCACCACCAGCATCATCACAACGGCAGCCCCCAGCAGCAGCAACACCATCAGCACCATCAACTACACCATCAGACCCACGTGGACTCGGTGACACCGCCGCCCTCCAGCCCCACCGAGATGGCGTACTCCTATAAGAAATCCCACCGTTACGGCAACATTTTACCCTGCAGCCCAGACTCCAGCTCGAACCTGCCTATGCAAACGGACTCATGTGTCAACTCAACCAGCGGTAATGGCGCGCCACCTATGCAGAGTCCCACCAGCAATCTACATTCCAGCACGGGCGGGCTGCACTCAAGCACCGGCTCGGCAAACCCCGGTCTACCGCCGCATCCCGGTAGCTTACATTCATCTAGCAATCCCGGTGGCGGCGGAGGTGGCAACGGTGGAGGAGGAGGAGGCGGTGGAAGCAACAGTGGCGGCGGTATTCACTCCAGCACCAACGTGCTGTCATCCAGCACGATATTAACGTCCACCAGCGGCAACCCGCACTCGTCCACGACGACGAGCGGCTGCCCGCCCAAGCGGAAGACCAAGAGTCCATCGCCGTCGAGCCAGAACGGCGTGTCCACTCCGACGATCCTGTACTCCAGCTCGGGCGGTTGCCAGATCGAGTCCAGTCCGGTCTACCCGAACTCCGCGGCGGCTGCCACCGCCGCCAACGGTGGCAGCAATCAAAGCGTCTCGCCGATCTCGCCGATCCAGTCGCCTTCGTCATACCCATACAGTCTCTACGGTCACCAAAATGGCTCGCTGCATCACAACGTTGCGCCCTTGTCCATCAACTGCACCGCTTACTCTCCCACGCCGAGTGGCAACGTCGTCTACGAGAGATCGGACGGCAGGAGGCTGGAGGCGGCCAGCAGCAGCCACCAATTGCCCACCTCGTCGACCATGCAGATGGACGGCAACCAGGCACTAATCGCCGGCACGCACAATCTTCACTTGGGTCACCATCCCGGCCTCACCATCCACGCCAACTCGCCGTCTCTCAATAGATACTCCCCGGCGAGCTCGTTGTCGCCGGACGACCATGGCTGTTCCCAGAGCGGCTCGCTCAGTCCAAACTCGCAGGGCTCGAGGGGCTACAGGTCTTTGCCTTATCCGCTCAAGAAGAAGGACGGCAAAATGCACTACGAGTGCAATGTATGCTGCAAGACCTTCGGCCAGCTGTCAAACCTCAAGGTGCATCTCAGGACGCACTCTGGCGAGAGGCCCTTCAAGTGTAATGTCTGCACCAAGAGCTTCACGCAGCTCGCGCACCTCCAGAAGCATCATCTCGTGCACACCGGTAAGCATGCACTGGCCAAAGTAGCAACTTGGTGGTTATCGAGTGTTTTTGTCATAATTGTTTTAGTTTTGAAACGATTGTTGAGTATACAACGACCTGGTCGTTCTGGTCGTTTTAACACGTTGATTGCAGTGGGATTCACCAGTGAGATAAATCATCATAATATAGACATAATATGATGATATTATAAATTATGCTGATATAATTGAACCTCTTTCTTAATCCCGGACCGCAATAGATGTCTTTAACATTTGCTCTAAATCCAAAACTATTACTTAATTTTCGACTAAAAGCGATCCCCATTGCTGCCTGAAGTCGACTGATGCTTACGAAGTCGTAATGCCCAAGTTTTAAGCATGTTAGTCAAATTCCAGCTGCTAAGGCAACATGAGAAACGCTTTTTGCCAGAAATTATAAACTTTACAGCAAAAGGCTGAAAGCTTATTACATCAATAGATGTATATGTATCAAGGCTTATGATAGTTCTACTATTGGAGTCAAGCAATATTATACTAGCTGCTGCAATGATTTCAAAGTTGGAACCATCATAATTAGATGATGAAATATACAAAACTCACTGGACTGTCAATATGCTAAAATTCTTGATTCTCGTGATTGTAGCCGTACTGGATTACGACGATAGCAGTGAGAAATCGTATAAATTTGTTTTTTTATTCCACATATCAGCGAGGAATATAATTGTTACGCACAACATGTGTTATATTGCATTTATATTGCTGAGTAGAAAAAAATTATAACATTGATATAGTGTTATTTTTAATTGGTGTTTATTGGGTTAAATCTGATGTCCTACATCTTCAGTTGCACGATATTCGAAATGTATTATTAACTACTTATTATTACCGGTACTTATTAATCCACGAAGCGAGGCGAGAATCGAACGCATTTGATCTATCCTATCGAACACGAGTGTTCTCACGCGCGAAAAGTTCAATTTATCTCGACGTATTTATTTCGATACACGTCTAGTTCACGTCATAATTCAATATGGCTGCGATGAGGATACCATACAGTCGTAACTTTAAGTCACATCCGACGTCATGAAAGTCATACGTGGTTGCGATGAGACCTCACCAGTCGTAACTTCATATCTCTTTATTGCACATTTTACATAATATATAAACGCGCGCGCGCACGCATGCGCCTATATTCTCAGGTGAAAAGCCACACCAGTGCGAGATATGCAAGAAGAGGTTTAGCTCAACATCGAATCTCAAGACTCACCTCAGACTGCACTCCGGCCAAAAGCCGTATGCCTGCGACCTTTGCCCCGCCAAGTTCACCCAGTTTGTCCACTTGAAGCTGCACAAGAGGCTGCACACGAACGAGCGGCCCTACACCTGCCAGGGCTGCGACAAGAAGTACATTAGTGCGAGCGGCCTTAGAACTCACTGGAAGACTACGAGCTGCAGGCCGAACAACATCGAGGACGAGCTCGCGCTTGCAGCTGCGGCCGTGGGTTCGCCAACATATTACGAATACGGTCCTGACATGAATGTCGGTAAGTGATAAAAAAGAACTTTCTTTGTTTTATGTTCTTGCAACTTAGGGTTGCAAAGGGCTCAGTTCTTGCAAACAAATGATTGAAAAAAAAACAAATAAATACCTGCCCTACAACAGCCGCTTTCTTGGGATAATAATAATTATTATCATTTGTTAACAATGAACTTCTTCATAAGTGCGTCATAAACGTTTCGCTTAAAAACTGATCCTCTCCAATATTATATGTTACAATGTCTCGAAAACGAAAGATTGCAAAAATAATACAGATAGCAGTTGATCCAAATATTTAACGAGGAGCGTATACAGGTGTTAAATATTTTTCGTGATCAAAATGTTTTTCAAGAATGCGAATCGATCGCTTTTTAAATCCAAAAACGCATGATAGGAAAAAATCCGCAATCCTGTTCAAATAACTAATGAGAACGTTTCAAATATGTGCGCAAAACCACATAGAAATTTTTTATCGACAACCTGATAGAAAAATTATCATAATCTCTCACAAAAGTTGTAGCTGTGGTCTAATAAGGTATTTATTTCTGTTTTTTTTTTTCAATTTTTAAAATCACATATGAAATATCTTGATTTTCTTTAAATGACAATTATTATGATTATTAATATAATAAAAGTTCCCGATAAGAGCGAAGTAATGAAGGTTTTAACGAAGATTTTGCGACAGGGATTTGGGTTGATACGAGATTTACTCTCTTTCAATTTTAAGTGAAAAATCGATTTCCATTTGACGAAATGAACCGGCATTGCACGGCCGTTTGAAGTCATAATCATGCCTATTTTGATTAATAAAAATTAGCACGAGATACTGTTGTTCTGTCTTTCCGATTTTACTTTCTATGAATACGACGACAAGTTTTCGTGCCAGTTTGATAAAATAGTACAACAAGGAAGGGCCATAACCGATAATATCCGCGCGAATTCGGATATAGGTTTCTATACCCAGTATAGAAACTACACGGTTGTATACTGACAGCATTAATCGTCACTACATTATGTATGATGTATTAATTTCATTGGGGATTATCATTGATCTCCCATGGCAATCAACATGTCAAACTATATACAATACAACTTTTCTATACGCCAGTTTAATGCTTGTCGCTATATATATATATATATATATATATATATATATATATATATATATATATATATATATATATATGTACTGTTATACGCAACATCGAAATTAAGATAATTTAATATGGAATTAATAGCCGTCTATCAAAGTAATGAATAACAATTTAGAATGCAATTAATAATCGGTACGTATATTAAACCAAACTGGTGCAAACTACAAGCCTGTAATCATTCGTATAATGTTCCTGTAAATTTTATTGATATCTTGGAAAACTGTTTAAAATTTGTATGCCATTAATAAGAGTCAAAGACGATTCGTTTGAATACTTTAAGATACTCTCAAAATTTCTTGGAGTGAAGTTTCGCTCAAAAATAATAGATATTCACTCAAAACGATAGTTAAAATACTGTCACTCTGAATGGAGTGACATTTCACTTTTCATAAGAGTAAATATTTCACTTTCCATAAAAGTGAATATTTCACTTCAAATAAAGTAAATTTTTACGATTACAAGGATTTTTACGATAAAAAGGAAAATATCTTGTTATATCGTGTTTATGATTACTAGTGATTCTAATTATTACAATCTTTTTAATAGTGTGTTATTTAGGCCCAGTTCCACCAATTAACCTCCAGTTAACTAGCTGGTTATTCCATTGGACTTGACCAATCATATTTGACATTAAGAAGAATTAATCAGAATTAACCAATCACTATTGGAACTTAACCGATAGTTAAAATTAAACGGATGTTATGGAACTCGGCCTTAATTAATTCCATTTATAATATGCTTGGAAAAATTCGCTGACTACAATGAGATTTGAACTTGAAGACTTCTAGCTCTTGAGTCATTCACCTTACCTACTGAGCCACTGCTATTAACTGATGGCAATGACTCTCATAACGATGCATTGTTTCCGAACCATTCACTCTTTCACGACTGAAAATTCACTCCATTTGAGTGAAAAGTCACTCTAACTCGAGTGACAATTGTTGCTCGATCTGTCGAAGGAAAATTCACTTCACGATACAGAGTGAAGGAATTCATTCTATAAGAGTAAGAAGTCACTCTAATTCAAGTGACTCGGTTGTCACTCTGTTTTTCAAGTGAGGTTTTCACTCCAAGAAATTTAGAGAGTAGTTGTATCGCTAATTGATGGACTTTCAATAGCAACATCAAGAAGACCACTCATTTATCAAACAAAATCACTTTTTTATAAATTTATTTAATTATTCGAGAAAGAAAAAGAGAGAGAGTTATCAATATTAAGTTGTACTAAAATTAATATTAATATATACACAATATTATACAAGTATGAAAAGATTATTTATTTTTTGTTTGTCTTATTGTGTGTGTAAAACTTTATTAGTTATTTATTAGATTAACAGATGCACAGATAATATAAAAAAAATACATAAATATTTAAATATATATACATAAACTATGAAATACTATTATATTAAAAAAAAACAGGATAATTAATAATTCTGAATTTTCTCTAAATTTGTGCGCAATATTTGTATATATTAATCTCTAATATATATTATAATTGTTTTTCTCATTAAAATTCTTAATATAGCTTAAAAGAAACTAAAGACAGAAGCTAAAGATTGCACACTAACTTCAAGAAACACGTATTAAAAGTACCAACTTTAATTGCAGATATTTCAACTCTCGAATGCTTCAACTCAGTCTGTTTATAATTGCGCGAGTGGTTAGATAATATTTTAATTTAAGTGTAGTGCAAGTTTCAATGAATCCCCAAGAAATTCCTTTCACGACATAACTCACCACTTGGATTATCGAATATTTTGTGCCGCGTTTCGCGACACCTGGCCCTTTCTCGTTACTCGACTCGCGATAGATGTGAGTGCAGTGCAACTGAAGAGCACGTTGCTCGTTGTACATCAAATTACGACAGGATAAACTCACGTTGATTGATGAACCACGTTAGAGTTTAACTCATGCGAATTTCCAGATAATAAAAAATTTTGTATTAATTCAATACAGCCAATCAACATATTTCCACATTTCCTAAACGGCTCAAATTTTTATATTAATTTAACACAAGGCGAATATGTTAAACAATAACACAAAAATAACACAAAATTATATCGGAAATTAACACAAAAGAAATTAATGCTATTTTAAAGCAAATATTTTATGTAAAATTGACATATTTTAATATAATGCCAAAAAAAATGTTATTTTCGCACGGAAGAAAAATATTCTACTTATTGTGTTGTTTTTAAGGTATCGTTAATAATTTTATCGAAAATCTGAATTATGTGTTATTTAGTTAATTAAATTAATATCACATTTGGAAAATTTATTTGTTACAGATGGAATCGAATTCGGAAACTCTCTGAGAGAGTCGCCTATCTTATCTAATATACCAGTTCTACCCTGACTGTAGATTAATTTTGTATCGTATATATCGTTAATCGGTGCGACAACGTAATTTTTCCGTGAAATTCTCTAATATATTAATCTACGCTAAAGTATAAAATAGGTAATTTTAACACTTATATGTGTTGAATATCAATTTAACACAAAATATTCGGACAAACACAATATATTAAAGCACAAACATAATATATTAAATCAACATCTAGATATATTAAAAATATTAACAAGGGCGGATATATTAAGAATGTCAACAAGGATTTTTGACACAAATACAAAATGTTTTTTTATTATGCATGCTTCGTGAAGGCCGCTCTATCAAACTTGTTTGCTCGATTGATTAATCGATCAATCTGCCAGGATCACATGTAATCATTATCATGCATAAAGACAACGCAGACTAAACAGCAATGTGTCATCCATTTCAGGAAATATACCGAAGGAATGCGAGCTGGAGCACATCGATAATTACGACAGGCACGGGTCGGCGCACGGTCCGCACTCCACGTCTCTGCACAACCTGGAAAACTCCGTAGGTCGACCAAGCGTCATAGAGACGTCCCAGCCGCACATTATCGAGTGTACATAAGCCGCACACGGGGTATGAGCCCCTTCGCTCCGGCGCGAGAGACGCGGCCGTGGAAATATAAACGAGTTGCTCGCGACTGACGAGATAAGATAAAGGATAGAAAAGGGAACAAGCTCCCTTCTTCTCCTGGTCCTCCCCCCGCCCCTCTGAAATGGCAGGAAAGAATAGAGCTTTCGCGAAGGTAGGTGCCGAGTGGGAGAAGAGATTCTCCGTGAATGAATCGTTCTCCCGGATCCCCGATGAGGATTGGCGGATTCGTGAGGGACAAATGGAAATGATTTGGAGGACGCCTCGCGAGGACGCGAGCGTCGCGAAATTGTTTTCAAAGTGTGATTATAATCCTTCGCGATTATTTCCGTCTGCTCCATCGGAGCCAGAATCTTCTCAATGGGAGACTCGACGATGGGAGAAGGATTTCTCGCGAGGGATCGTCCGGAAGTGACGAGAGGACGCGAGATACCGCGGATAAGATGTAGTTGAAACGACGAAACGTCGCCAATCGCGTGACAGTGACGTACACAGACCGATCGCTCCGACAATCAGTTCGGCCCGAAGCGATCTCAGTTTTTAGCCAGCACTTTGTTGCTTTACCGAGGGAGTGGAGTACCGAGAGAGCGCGCGACGTCAAGGACACAGGGGGAGAGGGAAAAGAGAAAACGGAAAAAGCCAAAAAAAATATACACAGAAGAAGAAACGAATGAATTTTGCCGCGGTGGGTCGAAGAGATTCTGTCTTGTAGAGGCGCATAAAGTTCCTTCCTTGTAAATACTTGTTTCTATATTTTTTCTATCGCGTAGCGTTATATCAACGAAGAAGAGAGGGGAAGGCTTCTTCCCCGAGAGTAATCAGGCTTAATCACTCGACTTCCGGGTGCTGCCATTTCAGAAGAAGAGACAGAGAGAAAGAGAGAGAGGGTGGGGCGAGCGGGAGGACGATTGCGTGAACGATTGGCACCAAAGTCGCTCGGGTTTCTCGATTACTCTTCCACGATGCACGTAGAAACGCACGCCGAAGACGCATCGTGACGACACGTGTCAGTCGGTATCGACTGCGACCGATCAGAGGGATTACCGATCGAGTCCGATGACGATTTTACCGATCACTCAGATCCCTCTCGTGTACTTTGCGATTTTACTTCTTCTCGAAACAGCCGGGTGAAAGGATGCATCGCCATTTCTCGACGCGTCCAATTGTCCCGGGACGAGCTCAGTTTTTTTCCTCAAATTTCAGACACGAGCAGAATGGAAATCGTGGAATTCTTTAGTTTGTCTCCTGAATCTTTGTCATGCGTTAAGCTCACTACTGAGAGTAAATTACGTCTAGTGGCCGTCCCGGGAGAATTAATATGTTCTGCGATTAAGGCTTCGCCCGCGAAGCTACGTTTATATCGCGAAATTACGAAGTCACGATGCGATCCTCGACGTGCTTAGGTCAGCGTGTGTTATATGGCGGATTTTGTCGGCACCCGCCATCGTGTTCGAGTGCAACACGCGAACAGCAGCGGCAGCAGCAGCAACAACAGCAACAACAATAACAGCGAGAGCAAGAAAGACCCGAACAACCAGTGACGACACGACTGCAACTATACGAGACCTGTACCTGTACATACTAACATTACTATTAATTATTCAATAATTTAAAAAAGGTAATATATATATTATATATATTATATATATAAGGAGCTCTAATTTATATGAATACCTTTATATATTTATATATATAGGTATATATGTGTAAATATATACCTATGTGTATATATAAATACATACACACATAGCAACACGCATTTGCGTGTACGCGTATGTATGTGTATGTGTACGGTGCTTCTCATTAATGGAGTTCTCTTTGAGTGTAGGATGCTGTAGAAAAGTGTAGGTGAGCACACCACCTTCAGGCTTCCGAAACAGATCTTTCCATGAACCAGAATCCAGAGAACCAAGAACCTTTGGCTACGTTCAGAAAACGCAGCGATCAGTGAGCGTCAGTCAGTGATTATTGGTCTTCACTGTTAGATCTCTAACTTTAGACCAATTACGTTGACAAGTTACTCAATCGTTGTAAAACCGTTGTGTTTTTTGAACACAGCCTTTGACTTCTGCGATCACTGTTGGCTGCAACACGACATGTAGCCATAACCGTAATATCAATCGCGTACAACAACGATCTATTTCATCACTCATACATTATTCGCACGTGCATTTGACGTATCGCGACTATTCCACGTGATTCATCTACGCAACCAACGCTACTTATCGTATTGGGGCTGGCAGTGATCACCCTAGTTGTACATGTTCGGCCTCTGAATTCTGGCTCCGGGAAAGATGATTGGAATTCTGGAGATGGCGCGTTCATCTGTACTAGTTTACTCTAAAAAAAGACTCGATTTATGAGTGAGTAGTATACGCACATGCATACGTGCATACATCGTCGTCGATCAACGAATGGTAGGCTACACTTTCGAATGACTCTCGCACGACGCCGAATTATATGAGCTCGATACTTTGTTAAATAATTTATCAGCGCGCGCGCGTTAACGCATTATTGGCCAGACGCGTTGTCGACTTATCAAAATTGTTTCATTGCCGCGTCGGCTTGCGTTGATTCACAACAAATTTCCCCATTTCTTAAAAGGCCGGTCGACGATGCGTTAGGCCGGATGTACGCCCTTGTCCGCAACCTTATTTTAAGACGTAAGTCAGAGAAATTGACCAACTACAGCCAATTATTCTTCTAAAAATCGACCATGGTTGGTCAATTTCTTACGGCTTACGTCTTAAAGCAAGGTTATGGACGAGGGTTAATAGGTGTAAGCTTCAAACCGTAAGAAATTGACCAATCATAGTGGAACGCGACGAGAATAATCGACTATGATTGGTCAATTTCTTACAGCTTAAAACTTATAAACCTGGGTTTAAAGAGAACTATATCTCAATCGCAAACAGATAGTGAAAATCGCTTGGATTCAAACCGGTGAAAATTCCGTACTTCGAAACAGTGAAAATTCAAAACCGGTGAAAATTCAGAGGTAATGGACGAGGACAATCTCTACGCAGGATCGAAAGTTACGATAGGAAATCTAGTCAAAACGCACCGCGCGGGAAATCGCAAGATACGGCACGGCGGCATCGCTTAACACTTTAGATCCACCTACAGTGGGATTGGCATATTCTTTTAACAATCAACTATGGTTAGTCAATTTGCTTATTGGTTTTATCGCTCCTACTATCAATCCCATTGTAGATGGCCTTTAACCGACGGACCTTGATGGGGTCTGTTGTTTTAGTACAGACTAGGTCAAGTTGACCCAAGAGCCATGATGTCCATTTTGTTTATTGTGAGAGCAACAATAGATCGCAAAATGTTCTTTTTAGAACAAAGGAGAAGAGCTTGTGCTCTAAAAGGAATGTTTGCAATCCATTCCATCTTTTCATTGTCGCTCACACGGTTTGTATATGAGTGAAACATGGCCAATGTAATCTTTAGGCCAACTTGATCAAGTCTTTCCTAACTCTAACCTAACGTAGTTTAATCCTAATCTAATCTGTGGCCGAAGACTTGCACAAATTTGCTTAAAACGCTTTTATTAAATTACATCTCTTAAATTATAGTACTTATGAAAGATATTAACACTTATATAGAGAGTTTGCTTCAAAAAGATGTCTGCACTTATATGAAGAAAAAGTTACTTCCATATATGATCACATCTACGATTATGCGGGATCATATATGGATGTAACTTTTTCTTTATATAAGTGTTGACATCTTTTTGAAGCAAACTCTCTGTAAGTGTTAATATTTTTTTTAAGCACTTATATATCTAATTAAATGTTGTAGAAATGTTGAATTCGTGAAAAAATAGATTTTTCTTACGAGTAAATTACAATAAATATGATGCATTGGACTGTCCGGAGAAGTCGTGCGAGAAAAAAGTGCGTCTCAATATCTTATAGGCTTTGCAAATAACTATTTTGTTTACATATGTAGTAAAAGCTAAACATAGTGCTGTCTTTAGAATTGTCTCGACAGTTTCGCTTCTGTGCGCTTCGGCGACGTTGAAGAACGATATAGAACCAAAAATCCGCACAAACTTCCCAGACAAGTCAATGTTTCATGCGTGGTTGGGAAGTAATACATCGCTTGCAACGCTGTTACCATAACAAGTTGTATTTAACGATAACGGTAACGAGCTATTTTTCAAAATTAATAACGATAACAATAACAAGTTATTCACTTATTTATTTTTTTCAATTTTTTAGCGTGTGACGAGTTGCGTATATTTATTTATTTATTTATATTTCAATCTTTCCCGATATATAACGAATATAATTACTCTTAAAAAATCACTTCTCCAATCCTGATCGCATGGAATATTAATTTGCGACGTTCGTGCGTCTCACGAGAAGTCTTCTGTTCTTCGCGTAGAGCACGAGATTTGTATAAGTCCGGATCTACAACACGTGTAGTGTAAACCTTTTTTTAACCTTATACTCTAAGGTTTATAATTTCTGACAGAAAACATTTATTGCGCTGCTTTAACAATTAGAATCTGGCGAACTCACTTAAAGCTTGGGGATTATGACTTCAGGCAGCAATGAAAAACGTTTATAATAGAAAATTATGGCACAATTTTGGGTTTATAGCATAATGCTAAAAACTTACTACATCTATTGTAGATCCGAGCTAAAGGAAGAGCTACGCACTAGTGATCGAGTTCGAGTAACGGTCCAAGTAAGACACTACGCGTCTCGTCGGTGTAAAGTGTTAAGGGAGAGACGCGCGCTCGGAAATCGCGTTTCTGGATCTTCGCGACTCACCAAGCATTCGCGTCGAACTCCCGGAAAAAAAAGAAAACGATGGTTTTTTTGGATGAACAATGTACTTCCCGTACACACAACACACGCGAAAGCGATATTCGCGGAGTTCACACCAACGACCGTCCGCGAAGACGCTGGTTAGGCCTTAACCAGCCTTCTCTAGCCCTAAATACGCCTTCTTCCTTCCTCTCGCGAAATCTTCCAGTGATTTGAAACGCGCCGAACCGGTGCGAATTCGCACTTCCAGTGATTAATTAATTAGCACTATGTTAAGACGCACGAGAGGGTGTCGCGCGAGAGTCGAGCTTTGCGAGAGCGCAGCCTACCCGTCGTACAATGAACAAAGAGCGTCCTTACCGAACGACGACTGCGGGAACCGCCGCGTCACCGTCACGCAGAATGACGATTTTTCAAAGGAGGCCGCGTCGGCCCCTAGTCGTTGTTCCGTAACGGTTACGATTAAAAAAAAAAAAAGAGACGTATCGCAGACTGATATATACACATGGCTATTGAGCGTCTGTGCGATTCTAAAGAGCCACATGCATCGCGATACGATTCCGTGCGAATTGAGCGAGCGAGCGAAACGAACGAAAGAATGAGAGTGAGAGAGAGAGAGAGAGAGAGAGAGAGAATGAGCGATTTTTCGAGAAGACAAGAGTGCGGAGTGTGTTAGGGAATATACCATCGTTCGAAATTACGGCTTCCTTCGCAAAACCCGAGGCTCCGGTTCCGCAAAAATCTTCCCCTCACGTCCGACGCGCGATGAACTCTACGTAAATAACCCAAAGAAATCCGTTCCGGCCGAAACTCTCCCTCATCTTTCGGGGATGCGCGCCAGCCGACCGGGGGTTCTCCCTCCCCCGATCGCGATGTATACGCGAGATTTTTACGAAACTGTTCCCTCGTTTCTCCTTCCTTCCTTCCTCCCCTCTTTCCCTCCTTCCTTCCATTCTTCCTGGAGATTGGCGATATCGTAGTATTATCCACTCGCCGATCAAAAAAGAAAGACAAGGACCCGTCGAAACGCACCCAAAAGATCCTCCTCCTCGACTGTTCCTGTGTACACACACATACACACACGTACATACACGCACAAAATGTCTCACACCACACACAGCATACCCAATAAGTTTCACGAGGAATTAGAGAAAGAACTCTCGAGACGAATGCGGAAACGTAGGCGTACGCAATAGCTTTTGCAGGGACTTGAAGATCACTAACTTGCCGATACCTTTTTCACCCCCTAGAGACGCGGCAACCATTCGGGTGTTCTACGGGACGTCTCGAGCTGCGAAAGCGTGACAGGGTTTTTTTCAAATGGCGAAGAAGCGCGGGACGCCCGCGACCATCCGAAATCGCGAGGAGTCTCGGCGAGAATCGACTCATATCCTCCGCGATCTAGGCCGAAGATGTGCAAAACACACCGCGCAAAAATCTACTGAAAAGAGACACGAACAGAGACCCGAGAATCCGCTAGTGCGAAATTATTCCGAGAGCTTTCCGATAAAAACAACTCCCCGGATAGTACAAGATGTCCCAAACTTACTCAGAGAGTGTCAGAGAGTGAAGCCATGAGGGGTGTTCTAGTACGTCCTAAGCACAGCCAGGATGATTCAAGGATTTTGCGCTATTTAAATCCGTTCTTTTTCGATCGTCCTAAAATATCTCGACTCGCATGCAAATAGAAAAGTAAATTTTGGCCGAAACAGTACTGTACTTTCAGCTAAACTAGGTGACACATTTTACCTTTAGTAATTTTTAATTTTACCGTAGAATAGAACAATATCTATTCTTTATAGCTTACCAAGTTCACTCTCTACGCTTAAAATGAAGCAGATACAAATTTGATATTTAGATAGTGAAAGGAAGGAGAAAATAGGCTGAAACACCCAATTATCGATATTCTCGAAAAGCCAATTTTTTTGCACCTTTGCGGTTAAACTTCTTGGCTGCACTCTGTATAATTTCAAAACAGACTAAACTGTGAACAGATGCCGCTGGTCGCAAGAAAATCAAATTTTTCAAGAGTCGATCACTAAGAGAAATATAAATAATTGAATATTTTATCCTAGAGAGGTTAATTTAAGATTAAACTTGAAAACATTTTCACTTTTCACAGTTAAGGGAAAGTCACGATCAACCCTCAGAAATTGCAATCATGAAGAACAGACTTCATAGCCCGAAAACATGAACAATGGACCTTATATTATCCTGGACATACATTTGACATTAAATTATAACTATCTAAATCCAAGTTCCATTTATTTTATGGGAACATCATGTGTAACATTGTCTCAGTATGATGTCAGAAAGACATATTTAGCGTTCAATGTGTATCCAGAATAGAGATTGTGATCGGAAACTCGCGAAATAATTCCATGATAGCGCTGCCGATCGAAGAGGCAATCTGGAACACTCCCGAGACTCGTCGGACATGCAATAATAGCGACGCGTTATAGCAATAATGACATTAACTTGCCTTTGGCAACGACATGAACGGTATGCCCTAACACGTGGCTACCGGATCTCGATCCGCGCCTGGTTGTAATTTTACTCGTGAAACGACGAGCTCCGCGTCCCGTAAATCGCCACGATTCTCTTCTTGCCTCATCTGCGCATTCGAGCGCAATTTTATTATGCATAACTTCGAAGTAAAACAGAGAAACTAGAGGAGAAACTTAGGCGCTTAGGGATTTCTCGAAATCGTGAAACTAATAGCGAGAGGTGCTGAGAAACTAAGAGAAGCGCGCACACACACATACGTCCACACAAACATACACACACACACACGTCCATACACAGACACACACACAAACATATACACAGACAAAAAGCACATTCGCGTAGTAGAGGCAGACCAGGTGAAGACACGTGTAAATATGCTGAAAGTAGTGGAAAACGTCGAAAAAAAGGAAGCGCGAGCGACTTAAACGCCTCGAGGACAAACAAGCAATATTTAGTTCTTACCATCTCGTAATAATTAAACGATAACTCCAACTGTACCGTGCACACGCGCGTACGTATTTAAACGACTATAAATTAAATGTTAATTATCCTTACACTTCGTATATAGTGAATTGTTACGCATTTATTATCATTACAATTATTGAATAGGTAATGCTCAATTAGCATTTGTTTCTTAAAATAAAGAATAAATATATGGCTGTTGGATATTTACATGCACATGTCACTGTCACCTACGTCACGTGGTTTTCAGGCCTCACACAGCATTCTATCTTAAGACACCTATCTTAAGAACTAGACTGCTAACTTCCCAGACAGCACGATGTCCAAAATCGAGTCATAAGACGTCTTTAAAACATCTTTAAAACAAGACTTTAAGACAGTTTATAAGATATTGTCTTAAAGATGTCTTAATTACGTCCTAAAGTCGTCTTATGACTCGATTTTGGACATTTGTGCTGTCTGGATTGTATCAAATACGTTGGTCTAAGAGATATGTACAGAACTCATGCGCATGCGTTATGTAAGTGGAATGACACATCTGACTGATTGAGTTTTACATAATATATGTCAAATACATACTTATACACACACTCCCACACATACACAATTTAAAATATCACTTCTGTAGGCACAAGTAGACATCGATCGTATTACATAACTTTCAAACCACTTACATCTGCATGCGCAGATGCTTACTTATTATATATGTAATACATAATTTTTGGGGCCATAATAGAGATGTGCGAATCAAAGATTTTTAATGTCGAATCGAATCTCAGATTTTAATTTCGAGTCGAATCGAATCGATGAAATTTCACCCGAATCAAATCGAATCGAATCGTTGAAAGAATTTTTAATTAACATAATCACTGAATTCAACATGAAAATAGTAGTTTCAGTATGAGAAAGATAATATTGATCATGTGAAATCCATTTTTAAGGTAAGAGATATATAATATATAGTCGGTAAACGTGTATGGAATACAGTTCCAGCCTTGAAAGCTGCGCAACGACACATATCGATCCGACAGTTGTCGGTAAGAGTTTATCTGGAAGCCATTACCTTCTTTTAATATTTTTGAAGAAAATCTTAATGTATAGCAAACTTTTCAAGTCATGCTAATTCCCGTAAGGCTGGATGTCTTTAATAGTTGTTCGTTAATGCTAATGTACGCGATCCGTATTCGAATATTTTCGATTCGAAATTTTTGAATTATTCGAATTGAAATCATAGGGATTCGAATTTGAATCGAATTTCACTTGATTCAAATAGTTCGCACATCTCTAAGCCATAGCACATAGAAAAACAGTAAGCAGTAAGATTTAAACAATAAGAAAATAGATCAATCACAATCGATTATTCTTGAACTGTAAAGAGAATTATCAACTGTGGTTGATCAATTTGCTTACTACTCAAGTTTTACTATATGCTTCTTACATCTTACGTACAATAACTAAGGAAATTAGCAGTCTTAGTACATAATATAGATGCTTTGTGTCTCACACACACGCCGTGTGCACCGATATGTGTATACTCTGTAAATAATGGATGCGAAACAGTTATGTTTAGTTAAACAGCAGCCAATACACCAATCAGAGACAATAATCATCAAACGCTGATTTTTGCTGAACGCAGAGAGACATTGACTTTCCTTCTGACGATGATTCGTACGTGAGAAGAAATAGCGATCCTTAGCGTGCGAGAGGAGAAGGAAAACGGGCAACATGGACTTGGAGAGAGAAAGAAAAAGAAAGAGAGATACGCACACACAGAGAAACCAACAAGGGGAACCAGACTGATTTTGAACCTTTTATTGTAAATTCATCTACAACCACATCCTGGCTCATCGTCGCTTATATCGTCGTCATTATAAATAGTAAAATGCCACGGTAACGCTGGTACTGCGTTGCCGTCAGTCAACGTTGTCCTATTCACAACGCATGTACAATTCGTCAATTGGAGTTTATCCCTAATTACGGACCCTTCGATATCTCGCGTTGCGGACAAAACGCAGATTAACCGCACGATCTGCCACGACACGGAATTTCTCACGAGCTTCTCACATACGCGTCGTCGCGCCAGATCAGCCATTGCAGTGGCGGATGAATCGTTGCACGTTACTGGCGCTTGGTTGCAAACGATCATCCGAGAGAGAAAAATCGGCGGTGAGCTACAGAACTTACGTATAAACCTTGTATCGTCGATCGGTCCCCCCTAAACGGAGACGCGAGCAAGACCCAGCTTCTCCTCCCAGTGCACATCGGTAGCAATATACAACTGTATATTAGAAAAATAATACAAGTTTGTCTCATTAATAGAAACAATTGTCTATATTCGTAACATAGTAGAACCACGTGGTTCATGCGAGTTGCGGACAATTCAAGTACGTTGTCACGGTTAATCGTGTGTCTGGAAATACAATCCCAGAGAGAAGACTCTTCACACATCTGCGCACCGTAGCTTGTTGCACATGCGGGTGACGCTTGCGTAGCCGATTATTTCTTCAAACGAGTCTTTATAAATATATCATGATGTTTTGAGAACGCTCTTAGAACGTACACACGGATGCCATGAGGAACAGCGAAGAAGAGCAATATCCTACCTTATCAAGGTACAGGACTGTCCGTTCCGCTACCGCTGTTGGTCCCAGCTTCCGTCTTGGTGGCGGCCACCCGATCGCCCCGCTTGGACGTCTTCGACAACGAGGCTACCTCTTTCAATAGACTCGAAATCTTGTGCTGCATGTTTGAGATCTTCGTCTCGTACCCCTTCTCTGACGCCTTCATTTTGTTGCGCAACTCCGTCTCGGATGTGAAGTTTTTCGCCTTCAGCTCGGTAATCTGCAATCGAGGAGTGATTCACATTACTAGCCTCATCTCACGGTGTTGCCGTGAGATCTTAAGGTAAGAAGATTCTACGCACTTGTCTATCCTTGGCTAATAACTGGCCATCCTTGATAGTAATCTGTTTTTGCAGATGCGCGATCTTTTCCTTAAGCTGGGTGACCGCCACTACGTGATCCGAGCTGTTCGGATCGTGCGGGTCGTGCACACCAGCCATCCGTGCTGCCTTCACCGGACTAGGACCGTTTGTGTCACCGCCTTCAGATTGCGGCGGCAACTTCGTTACATCGACCCTGTGCGGTCTCTTATTGTGACCCTTTAATCTTTAAACGAGAATAATATTTATGTTTATGCGAAGCATAAATAAGAATTTCCTTGAGACAGTAATCTAAAGAGCGCGCCTATATACAACAAGTTTGTCCTTGATTGCTATACTGCACTAACTGCACTTCAAACGAAGTAGACACATATTTAACACTTAAGAAGAGAGAAGAAAATAAAAAGATTACAAAATAATTAAATAACGATCCAGTTAAAATAAAAAATAATTGGTGGAGCCATAAGCAAGAGCCAAACGCTGATCTTATAGTGGAATTTTGTGATTTAATAAGAAATTACAAAATATTGATGTAGGATATTTAATCAGCAGATCTCTGGATATTTAATCGGTATGATTAGAGACAAATGAGAGTCAAACACCGATATAAAAGTGAATAACAACAGTAGTAAAAGACATTTCAATTATTTATTAATCTAAAACAAACATTTCGGTTCTATATTCTTTAGTGTGAGAAAAAAATTACATAAGTAATAGATGCAACATTAATGCAGCTCTCCCAAAAACCCTACATATATTGTCTTAAAATATGTCGATAAACCATGAAACAAAGATAAAAAGAAGAAAATTGTAAGGATTATAAAAATTCAAACCATCTTATCCAATACACACAATAATCTTGAGGTCTATATCAAGAATAACAGAATATTACCATTAATTCAAATCAATTTGAATAATTTGATATGATACCTAAGTGGTCATGTTTATAAACATATCCTTAAATCACCCAACATAAGAAAGTAAATACTCAAAGATAAGTAACCAAATATAATAGAAAGTCTCTCAATGATAGGACAATAGTCTTTATTTAATCTTCTTGTAAGATTAAACTTTTTGTTTGACAAACAAAACTAAACGTAAATTTTTTGTTTGACAAACAAAACAAAAGTAAACTGTTTGACACTTGATGAAAAACATGACAATGACATTTCAGATACACTTTTTTTTAACATAGGGTCTTTCTTTGTCTAGAATTCTGACATTTTCCCAATCAAATTCATGTTTTTTTAGTCTATGTATGGACACAAGTGACAATTCTTTAGCATTGCATAATTGGTTTATATGTTCTTTGATTCTAGTTTTTAATTGTCTACTTGTTTGGTCTACAAAAAGTATCATGGTGTGGAGGTTGTAATCTTTAATGCTGTTTCTTAATTGCTCCGAACACGTTTTTAATATAAGGGATTATAGGTAAATTTAAAAAAAAAAACTGATATTCCTTAAGTTGTCGCTTTTAAATACGGATCCGAACATATAGGATCAAAAAAAATATTTAAAAACCGAATTTAAAAAAGGACCCGAACATATAAGACCAAAATTAAAAAATACAGTTGAACTGTCCTCTACTACTGCTTTTCCATCGGCATTCCACGGCCTTCATTTTGTAGTTTAAATTGTGTAACAAATAGTTAAGCCTAACTTTTCTGAATGCCAAGAACCCAATCTCTATATTCTTGGTATTCTTGGTTCTTGGCATTTAAAAGACTTAGGTTTAACCATTTTTATTAACAATTTAAAATAAAAAATTCCGCTATGAAACTAACAATCGACTCTTACTTGCCTCTATCTTCACCGATTATTTTGTTCTGTTTTGGTCATAAATAGTGCAGCTATAAATAATAGACCTAATTCATGTTTTTCGAAATTGTGCTGTATAACTGCATAAGATCTACTAAAAACGATCAAATTATTTTATGGTCTTACAGATTTGGATAATTACTTTTGTTCTTTGTGCTTCGCAGCCCGTTGTTGAGCCAATTTCATGTGCGCTCTTCTGTCCGCATCCGATTGCTTTGTCTTCGCCAACGCTCGTTTATAAGACAGCGTACAGAGCCAACATAATAACTTCCCATCTACCTGAAATCCAGAACGTAATCGTGAGCGATTCAACTTGATTTTCCCTGAAAAAAATATATCAAAATTTAAAAAGTAGAACAATTTTCAAAAAGTCACAATGTCGAAACAATTTTACCAAATTCTCATATAGCCAAGTGCATTAGTAGCTAATTATTTATGTACAGCAAAAGTATATCCCAGTGGATGGATTTTAAAACTTGTGTATATCAAAGTTGCGAGTAATTATTTTTGTATATAAAACTTGTGTATATCAAAGTTGCGAGTAATTATTTTTTAATTAATTATCGTGTTTAATAAACAATTAATAAGAACTAATTAAAGACCGTTTAATTGACAATTTATTTCAACAAATTTAATTGGAAACCGTTCGATTCACGATTAGTTTCAACGAATTCAATTAAATACTGTTCAATTGACGATTGATATGAGCAAAGAGAATTAAAAATTGTTCAGTTAATAATTGAACTTAGCAAATTTAATTAAAACACCTTTAATTGACCGTTGATATAAACAAATTCAGTCGATTTAATAAAAAATTGCTTAGTGACGATTGATATGCTCAGTGCTTCTTTCAATGGAAGTCCTGTTCAATCATCGGCATTTTTCACGACGTCCCACGATGCTTTGAGAATAAATATTATCTACAAAACCAATTGTAACCTTAAGTAATCGAATGCTCTTCAAGTGAATTGATTGAATTTGCTCATATCAATCGTCAATTAAACAGCCTTTAATTAAATTTGTTAAGTTCAATTGTTAATTGGACGATCTTTAATTCCATTCGCTCAAATGTCAAATGAACATTCTTCGCATGATTATGTTAATTAATTAAATTAAAACATATTCAAATAAATTATTAAATTGAAAAAAATTTAATCAAATATTTTATGTGTGTGTGTATTATTTTCGAGATAATAGTTTCTCCTCGAAACAATTATATACTTCGAGAAAATTATATTTCGGGATATGGTCTCAGTATTCGGATTACGATATTGTGATTTTTCAGGAAATTGTTCCAGATTTTGAATTTCGATATTCTGAATTCTCGGGTCAGTATTTTTTCCACACATGAATACCGATCGTAACAATTGATAATTGTTGTTCGTGTAGACGCCGAAGAAATTTGTCAGACACATATATGTGTCCACAGTTCTTACCGATAATATTATAAGTATGTATAGAATGCTCAATGTAATAGAATTCATTATTTTCTACTAATTGCAAAGATCACGCAGAATAAAATTCAATACAATTAATCAGTTTTTAAGCAATAATGAAATGTAATAAAAAAATTTTCAAAAATGTTCTTTTCCGTAAAAAAATCAAAGTTATTTTTACCTTTTTTTAAGTAGAACCATATCTTTTTTTATCTGTAATAATTGTAAAAAAATCAAAACAATAGAAATTCAAAACAATAGAAATTAATATTACTCAATTAGAAACAAAACTCAGTAGAAACTTATAATATTACTTTTACTAACATTTAACAATGAAAATACAAACAGAAGGTAAGATAATGTTTAAAATACAATGTGTGTGTTTGTGTAATGAATAATATTAGGTGCTCAGTGCATTTTCGAAATGTAATCCATTTTTCGGAATACAAAGCTCCACCCTTTGTAACAGAGTTTTATATGTCGCATCAATTAGGATATTTCGATTTATGCTTCTACATACTTGTGTTATACATTGTAGAAATTCTTCATTATTATTTCGCTGTGCTCTTTTTAGCTGTGAAAATAGCAATAAAGAAAATATTATGAGTTACTATTAAATTTGTTCTGATTCTCTTTACAACACTACAAGTAAATTATTTACTACGTTTAAAAAAGTAACGTTGATCTTTATTTTTTCTTTAAAAATTTCTTTTTATTAAAAATATACTATTATTATATTATAAAAAAACATTTCCGAAATTTTTATTGTTGCATCTTATTGTTGTTCAAACTCTAATTAATTCTAAAATCTAAATCTGATTAAATTTAAAACTTTCCTGCCAGACTATTGTAACTGGTAAAAATATAGTGGATACCACTACGGTAAACGCAAACATATAACTGTGCGTCCAGAATATTCGAGAAATTAATAGATATTTAGAACTTCCGTGTGTTACCTTCTTATCTTCGTCCTGTCTATCGAAGGCACACTTCTGCTTGCACTGTTCGCACGTGACCGGCGGGCCATAACGTTTCTCCGAGTTTGTACATCGTTGGCATTTACTGCCGATGAACGCGGCGATGGTATTGCAATATTCACAAGCCGACGGCTTCCCGTAGGATTTGACGTTTTGCTCGCATTTTTTACATATAGTACTTGTATTGCCCTTTCTGTAAGATCAAGCAGATTGAAACGATGCAAAGGACCCCTCGCAGTTAACAATGAATCGCATGCTGATCGACAGAAGAATAACAGATTTGATGATTCTAATGAAGCGAAAATGTTGTTTGCAGGCAGGAATATCTCTTCTGCAAGTACTCTATCTATTCTTCTACTTTCAGTACTTTTTCCAATATTTCAAAGAGTGTATCTCTGAACAGCGTCGACTTAGGGCACATTTTATTTGATGCTCGACTGCGTAAATTTCATTCTATCTTTGTTTCTTATTGGATGTTAAACAAAAATGGAATTATGCTTGCGATCGTCGAGTGGAACTTAGCCTTAAGAGACGATGTCTATGGAACATTTTAATCTCTTAACAATAATCTTTTGTTTTAGCAAAGTGTGCTACTAGTCGCGAGGGATCCAGAATCCGCGTGAAAATGGGCAAGATTCTTCATTCCATCTTGAGTGGTTTTTAACGAGAGGAAACAAAGCAGTTCGTTCGCGGCTGATACTTACACGGTCTGCTGGAATTCGGATCTGCAGTACGTGCATTTTACTACAGGAAACGCTCCTCTGCATTCCTGTGTAAACACAAGATATATTTTAGTATGTACATATTTTTTAAATCATTTTGGTGTTAATTTTATTTCAATTATTTCAATATCTAAATGAATTCGTTAAATGCTCTAAAATATTATGCAGCACTAGCTGCATAATAATGTCATCAAACTTATGATAGAATTCGTTTAGTGTTATAAGTGTTTCAGAACTATAGATAGACCAGTTATATTGATTTATTTGATGCTTCAAACCATTTACAGCATCAAGTAAATACTCATACAGAGAAATATTATTGCTAAGGAAAGTAATTATTCAGCTTACTTTCCTTTTTCTTAAATAATATTTACCTTCTTTTAAATCATGTTTACTTTTAACAAAGTATATCTTATTGATAATAATCTTAAAATATACTTTTCACAAATTTGAGAAAAGTTCATTATCATATAATTAAAAGAAGAATTCATTTTCTTTATAAGATTATAAAATATTATCAAAGAAAAAATTAGATCAACTCTATGTAGTAAATAAAACTAATTCTTGTTTTAATTTGATATTCTTAATAAAAATGCTAAACTTACTAGAATTCAAAATATATTTTGAAGGAATTTAATGAACTTATAATATAGATTTGCTGATATACAGAGTGTCCCATGATAACTTTATGGAGGCATAATACAGATTGAAGTAAACATAAAAGTCCTCCGCCATATGATATTCGCAATAATTATGAAGATATTAATTAAAAAAAATTTGTAAATAATCACGCGAGATATAATAGCTGTAATGGCGGCGTCTGTCATTGTATGCTTATACATCAGGTCAAACTGAACAAAAAAGTCCTCTACCGTTTTCCTAATAACTTTGAAGATTCTTAATCAGTAAAAGACGGGTGACGCCATATGGCGTCACCACTTAATTTAGAAACTTTTTGAGAAAAATCACTAAAAGTCAACAGCAAATACTACCCAAAGATTTTCGAGATCGCTGATTATGCATCTACTATCAGATTTTTAAAACACGAAGTGGCGAATACAAAAGTAGTGAACTTTGATGTTTTTCAATTATTCACTTCAAAACGTAGTTTCTAATGGTTTTCGCAATCGCTGATTATGAATTTGCTGATAAATTTTCAAAATTCAAAATGACGGATCCAATATAGCAGATAAAAATAGCAAATTGAAAAACTTTATCCTTCAACATGCGCTTCTTTATCATTTCGGAATAAGAAACCGCTTTCAGCTAAAACTAGAATCACGACGAGAAGTACGTGGCAATATTCTATTCCATTTTTCGTTTTTTATGTTTTCCTTGTTTTAATTTTTTTTCGGTTTTTTCTTGTTTTTTCTTTGTTTTTTTTCTATTTTATTTCGTAACTCCTTTTATCCTTATGTTTTTGTTCAACTGTTTATGTTTCAACTACTCGAAAATGTTTATAAATTGGTTTTTGTGTGATAAATTTGAAAACAATTTTTTTTTCAGAAATCAATTATTTGAAAATTCATTCATTTTTCTCCGTTATATTAAATCCGCCATTTTAAATTTTAAAATTTTGATAGCAAATTAGCATAATTAGCGACCTCAAAAATCCTCATAAGCAAAACTTCACCAATTTTCATAAAAAAACCCCGTCCTTTACTGGTTAACCCTTATTGTGCACTGTGGGGTCAAATAGACCCCAGAAAAAATTAAAATAAATGAAATAAATGAAATAAATAAAATAAATGAAATAAATGAAATAAATGAAATAAATGAAATAAATGAAATAAATGAAATAAATGAAATAAATGAAATAAATGAAATAAATGAAATAAATGAAATAAATGAAATAAATGAAATAATTAAATAAAATAAATAAAATAAAAAAAATAAATCTTTAAAATAAAATGAAATATAATAAAATAAATCTATATATTTTGGGAAAACTGTTTGCTTTTTTTTCACGAAAATCCTAATTTCGATATTGAAAATAAATACCTTATTTGAAAATCCTGCTATTGTACTAATATTTTTCTTAAAGAGATATGTCTTGAGAATAGTTTCTTAAAATTTTACCTTGAAATATGAAAAATTGTGTCAGTTATGATTTTTGGAGCAAATAAAGTCATTTTTCGCGTTTTTTGGGGTTTCCAAATTTTTTTCTTCATTTAAAATCAAATTTCGTCTAGAAAAATTATTTCGTCATATAAAAAGATGTTTGAAATATATCCTGAAATTTTTTCAAATTAAAAAAGCGAATAATTTTATTGGAGCATTTTTATAGATGGGATCGCGAAAGACCCCAGTGTGCCCATTATGTGATTCTACTGAAGTGTTGCACAATAAAGGTTAAAGAAGATGGTTTCTCACGATATAGTAATGTTCTTTAATTAATAACTAAAAATCTACAATTGCAAAAGGTAAAGGGTGTACAAACACATGACGACAGATGTCACCACTACTCTCGCGTGTTCATTCATAAATGTTTTTTTAATTAATATCTTGATAATTATTGCGAATATATCGCGAAACATTATAAGACTTTTATGTTCATTTTAATCCATATTATGCTTCTACGAGAGTTTTGAAAGTTGTTCTGGAGTATTCTATATAAAGTAATGAAATAAATGAAATAAATTATTATCTGTATAAAGTAATGAAATAAATTATTCTATTTAAAACATTCATTTGAATGTAGTATATATTCTTCTGTGTGTACACATAGAAAAATATCACTCTACTGCTAAGGAAAGTGATTAGTTTATTTTCCTCTTTTTAAGTAATGATTATCTTCCACAAAGAATATTTTCTTAATAATAATCTTAAAATATACAAAACTTTGAGAAAGTTCATTAACATGTACTCAAAAGAAACAATTTTTTTTTTAGAAAATTATAAAACTTTATTAAAGAAAAAGTTGACTTGACTCTATGTAGTAAGCAAACTGACTTCTTGTTTTAATATTTTATATTGAAATACTGAAATTACTAGGATTCAAAATATATTTTAAAGAAAATGTTATGCTTATGATAAACTTATGATAGATTTGCTAGTGTATAAACTTATGAAATACTTCAAAGAAATAATATATATACACATACTTACATGTTATATATACATATAACTTATATGTAATATTTTTCTGTGGGTATCCTAAGATTAAGTTTATTTTTTTTTTTTGAATGCTTCTATGCTAAAAGCATTATTCTATCTTTCTTCAGTATATAATGAATAATAAAAACAGAATGATGCTTTCAGCACAAAAGCATCTAAATTTAGCCAAAGTTACATTCTAAATTACCACAAATTGAAATTTGATGTTCTTTATTTTGTAATACAATACTCTATAACTGCAATCACATAAATTACTACAACTACTTACTAAACATTCAGGCTACATCTTCTTTGAATGCAATCTCATTGAGCAATTGTAATATTAAGTGCACTCAATATTGTATCATACATAATATACAAAAATTTACCCGACGTACGTCAATATTCCAACTGATATTCCTACATCCTCACGCAAAATCTCGCGTTGTCAAGTTCGCGAGAAAAAATTTCCCGCTCCTCTAGCGTATAATAAATCTTCGTTCTACTCAATCCTATTCAAATCGCAGTTGTTTTAATCGTGACTTCGTCGGGAAGAAATCATGTATGTCGCGACGATCGTGATAAAGTACAGATTACATGTAAATTGCGTCATAAAACCAGATACCACGGAAACAGTTATGCGTGAAGGAATGAATGAATAAAAAGACAAATGTACGAAAAGCGGCGATTTATTAGCGGCGACACATACCTTGCACAACTGTTGTCCTGGCGAAAGGTCCTCGAAAGGGTGTCTAGAAAAGCACCTGGAACACGCAGACAACGCCTGCATGTTGTTCGCGCTCATCTTCGTTCATCCGACGCCGTTCCGACAATCGGCGCGATATCAAAATGACGAGAGGACGACAGCTATGCAGGAAAGAGACGGCGATATTACGACGCACACTCGACCGGGAAAGTCGCGAAAGACGTTGCTGTTACCGCCGCTACTAACTGCTATTCCACCGACAACAGAAAGAAGACGTAAAACATATAACAAACAGCGACGCGATACGGGCGGTCAGCTCGAGACAAGACTCACATACCTCGCGATGACACGTGTAAAACCTCAATCGCGAATCCGTTCGGTTACGATGCAGCAATTTTCACCCAAACACGATTACTCTACCGGTTGTTGACTTTCACGCGTCCATCTGTGATTGCTACGAAAGTCGACATGGCCGACCGCGACGACAGAGGTGGCCGCCCGAGGGCACCACCGCCACGTTCGCCGCCACGTTCGCACTAAAGGACCGTTCAGACGGATCTCCACAGCCGAATAAGTAATCAGAGGCTGGGAGGTCGCTTTCAGCAGGAAAAGTTGCTTCGCAATTATTGTAAAATCGTGAGTTTATGTGTGCATTTCCACTTAGCGCGTCACGCGTCGCGTCGTCCTTCGCGGACCAATCAAATCATCCTATTTTATTGCCTAACTTTAGACGAATAAAATGGGACGATTTGATTGGTCCGCGAAGGACGACGCGATGTGTGACGCGCTAAGTGGGAACGCACCCTAAAGCCCGTATCAGACTACCGACTGCACAGGCCGACCCGACTGCCGACTACGACTGCCGACTCTAATGCCAGCGGCACACGATGCTTGTTTTCATGCTGGATTACTTACTAGATGGAAATACTCTGTTCTGATTGGTGCATTTTCTGAAAACGGACCAATCAGAATAAAGTATTTCCATCCAGCAAGCAATCTAGCACGAAAACAAACATCGTGTGCCGCTGACTTAAATGGACCAATCACAGTGAGGCGCCGACTCCGCGCCTCACTGTGATTGATCCATTGAGAGTCGGCAGTCATAGTTGGCAGTCGGGTTGGTCTGTGCAGTCGGTAGTCTGATACGGGCTTAAGACCAATATTCATAGTCAAATCTTATTTCAAGACCGTCTTAAAAGCCAAATCATACTAGCGATTGGCGATTGACGATTGACAATTAAAGATTAGATTTTAACGAATCAACAAGTTCAGCTTTGGCTTGCTTTATTCCAATTGGTCAAGTTCCAATCTTCAATCGTCAATTATCTATCGCCAATCGCTAGTGTGATATGGGCTTAAAAATTGATGATTGACGATTAAAAATTGGAACTTGACCAATTGAAACAAAGCAAACCAAGACTGAAGCTTGTTGATTCGTTAAAATCTAATCTTTCATCAATTCATCAATCGTCATCGCCAATCGCTAGTGTGATTTGGCCTTTAAGTAATGTCTTACGGCTTCTGCACACAGGACACGGTAATGCTTGCCGCGCGGCGGAAGCCCGCGCGACAGCCAATCAATATGTTGTTTTTCCGTAAGAGCTAGAAGGTTATTACGGAAAGCAGCATATTGATTGGCTGTCGCGCGAACTTCTGCCGCGCGGCAAGCATTATCGCGTCCTGTGTGCAGAAGCCATATGACTTATAGCGAATTCGGTAGCTTGCACTAGTGCGCACTGAGTGCGCATTAAGGCTTGTTTACAGTACATTCTTATATTTAAGATCATGTCTTAAATACATATTTAAAAACATTTTAACTAATAAAATGATTCGTACGGATGTTATACATATCATATTATGGTTAAAAATATTTGAGAATTTATTTAAGAATTATTTAAGACAATTTTTAAATATAATAACATACTATGAACAAGCCTTAGTGCGCACTCAGTGCACACTAGTGCAAGCAACCGAATTCGCTATTAGTTTACATCGTGCACTTGATACGCATACTAAATAGTAACTTTCTATTAGGGCTGTTTACGATAATTCGAGTTGGATTAAGTACGAGTTAGTTTCACTAGGGCCGAGAAATATGATAGGCACAAGCATTTAGTATTTTCAAGATTTATGACAACTCAATGCTGTCCGATAAATCGAGTAGAGTAGAGTAGAGTTAGGGTAGTATAGCGGATAGTATATGTATAAGAATTAACAGTATCAGATAACATAGTTTCGTAAAATATGTAACAATAATATTACAAAACAATTATTTATTATATTTTAGAAAAATTAGAAGCACTAAATTAAATTATGAAAATGATATTAATTTAATGTATTTGTGAAATATTCAATAATAATAGGTTAGAATAATTGTTTTCTACTTTTGGATATTTCACAAATACATGATACCTTTTCATAATTTAATTTAGTGCTTCTAATTTTTCTAAAATGCAACAACTCATTGTTTAGTAATATTATTGTTATATATTTTACGAAACTATGTTACCTGATACTGTTAATTTTTATACATATACTATCCACTATGTTACCCTAACTCTACTCTACTCTACTCTACTCGATTTATCGGACAGCATTGAGTTGTCATGAATCATGAAAATACTAGATGCTTGTGACTATCATATTTTTCAGCCCTAGTGAAACTAATTCGTACTAACTCCAACTCGAATTATCGTAAACACCC